TTCATAATAATGTATGTATTTGTGGACATCAAAATAATTGTAGCTTGTTCTGCCTTTATATGTAAATGGGCAACTATAATAGTCAGCAAAGAGGTGGTACAGACCCATGTCAATATTTTCCACTCAAGAACATGGTGCCCTATGTCAGCGTGATAGTTATAGAAGACCAACCTTTGCCCATAATTCCATAGAAATGGAATGATGTTCTAACAAGTGGTGATTTGTGTCTTTCGGCAGGAAGAGGTCACTGCAGGGTGCACCCTTCTGTCACTAACCTTAACCAGGCACCCCCATGCTCTATTTTTCTCTGGCCCTGGCACACCTTTCAAATCTTTTGATCACACAATATCTTTCCTAATCTGTTGGCTCTTTCTGTAGATCAATGAAGTAGAAATGAATTAACCAATGATCAGATCTCTTCCCCTTCAGTAATTATGTGAATAAACTGTGTGAACAAAATAGCATCTAAAAAAAAAATCACAAGAAGTTGACAAGCCTGCACAAGAGCCTGTATAGTGGGGGTTGGTGACAATTCTAACCCCCATCATTTCAATGATTAACTAATATTACTTCCCTTTTTCCCTTTAAAAATTTTCAGGGAGGAGCAGAATCTTTGGAGATGGTTTTTGGGAGACAGTGAATCCACCATCTTCCCAGATTGTTGACATTGTTTAAAAGCAACTCCTTTCTAACATTCGTCTCTCTCTCGATTATTGATTTTTGAGCAAAGAGCAGTCAGACTTGATTCAGTAACACAACCACATCATGCTCCACCACACTTTTTTGTCATGACCTACAGAAACTGTGAGACAGTTTCTGTTGTTTTAAGCCATGATGTTTGTGATAATTTGTCATGCAGCAATAGAAAACTAACATATAGGGGACAGATGTGTTCAGTACTCATAAAGAAATAGACAAGTGGTGATTATCTGAGTAGACAGTTTCAGAGTTCTGGTTCCACACTCTGAAGGCAATGAAATGTAAGGAAATTTGCTGTTAAGTTGCATGGAAATGAAGAATATTTCATTGTGAGTGGATGTCTAGATATCCCCATAGTAAATGATACCTAACAAAAGTTTGCATGGCTCAGTGGTAAAGAATCCATCTGCCAATGCAGGAGATGTGAGTTGGACCCCTGGGTCAGGGGATCTCCTGCAGGAGGAAATAGCAACCCACTCCAGTACTCTTTCCAGGAAAATCCCATGGACAGAAGAACCTACCAGGCTACAGTCCATAGGATCTCAAAGAGTCAGGCCTGACTGAGCGACTCACCACGCATGCACAGGTGCACAGTAAGGCCAAACAAACCCAAACATCAGTTTGGAGCAGAGAAAGGCTTACTGCGGGTCAAAGCAAGGAGAATAGGTGGATCATGTTCAAAAATCCCAACTCTCCAATGCTTCTTAGGGAAAAGTTTTTACAGGCCAAAATTTGGGGTGAGGGTTGCAAGGTGTATGACTCCTTCTGACTGGTCGGTAGTGAAGTAACAGGTCAGTATTCCAGGAATCTTGTGTTCAGCCTAAAGCTGCCATCCCCCACCTGTGTGGAGGCTTTAGTTCCTACAGAAGTACTCAAAGACACTTAATGTATATCCCTTGAGAAGGAACCAGGATCCTGTTTCTAACGGCTGCACTACAGCTTCTTGATTATTCTTCCTTTGTTTCTGCATTTCCTTACTTTACTGACTAGAAACTGTTTGAATCTGCTCTTTGGAACTCAGGAATGTCTAGAAGGCCAAAGCCTTGATCCTGCAAATAAGAAACTAGGAATACAGAACCACTTTTGTGCCATCCAGCAGGGCCCAATGGGGTCCTGCTTGATTACACAGTCATCACTCTAATGCTTAAATTGTTGGAAAGTTCACAGGAGAGCTAATGCTTGTGAAACACTGCACCTGAGATGGTAGTTGAACCCACATGCTGGGACTCAAACCCAGCCAAAAGCCAGACTGGGACCTGAACCCATGGTCTTTTAACTGAGGTCACACAACTCATCTCAGGACTCAATGAAGCTCAGGTTCTTTATGACTCATCACAGAAAGAAATCAGTGAGAGACAAAGCCATAGATAAGAAATGGATTTACTTAGAGAGATACACATTCCATAGACAGAATGTGGTTCAAGAACAGCCTTGGGGGAAAGGGAAATACACTCCACAGACAAGAGTGTGGGCCATCTCAGATTCGAGAGGCCCTGAAATATGCTGTAGTTAGTTACGGGCTGGGTAATATCATAGGCTAATGAGTGGGAAGATTATTCCAACTATTTCAGGGAAAGGGTGGAGAGTTGCAGGATTAAGCCATCACCCACTTTTGGCTTTTCATAGTTGGTCTCAGAATCATGGTGCTGGTGGATATGTCATTTAGAATATGCTAATGCATTATAATGAGCATATAATGAGGCTCAAGGTCTACTGGAAGTCAAATCTTCTGTTATCTTGGTTCTAACCAGTTTTTGTCATATTCTATGGCTATGTCAAATTCTCTGAAGGTTCTCAATTTCTTTGCCAGATCTCCATGTTGGGAAATCTATTGTGGGCCCTAGAACTTTGGCAACAGTGCAGGAACTTCCTTGGTATAAGTGTTCCCCAGTTTGGGGTTGTCCGCTCAGAGGCTCTATGGTGAGGCTACTGGCAACCTCCTCCAAGAAGACTTCTGCCACACGCTGTGGAAAATTCTTAAATAGATGCGAAACCAGACCACCTTACCTGCCTCCCAACTATGCAGGTTAAAAAGCAAGAGTTAGAACGAGACATCGAACAATGGACTGATTCCAAATTGGGAAAGGAATATCAAGGCTATATGTCACCCTGCTTATTTAACTTAAATGCAGAGTATATCATGAAAAATGCCAGGCTGGATGAAGCACAAGCTGGAATCAAGATTGCTGGGAGAAATATCAATAACCACAGATATGCAGATGATACCATCCTTATGGCAGAAAGCAATAAGGAACTAAAGAGCCTCTTGATGAAAGTGAAAGAGGAGAGTGAAAAAGCTAGCTTAAAACTCAGCATTCAAAAAACTAAGATCATGGCATCTGGTCCCATCACTTCAAGGCAAACAGAGGAGGAAACAATGGAAACAGTGACAGACTTTATTTTCTTGGGCTCCAAAAACATTGCAGATGGAGACTTCAGCCACAAAATTAAAAGATGCTTGCCCTTTGGAAGAAAAGCTATGACAAACCTAGACAGTGTGTTAAAAAGCAGAGACATTACTTTGTCAACAAAGGTTCATCCAGTCAAAGCTATGGTTTTTCCAGTAGTCATGTACAGATGTGAGAGCTGGACCATAAGGAAGGCTGAGCACCAAAGCATTGATGGTTTTGAACTGTGGTGTTAGAGGAGACTCCTGAGAGTCCTTTGGACTGCAAGGAGATCAAACCAGTCCATCCTAAAGGAAATCAGTCCTGAATATCCACTGGAAGGACTGATGCTGAAGCTGAAGCTCCAATACTTTGGCTACCTGACACGAAGAGCTGACTCATTTGAAAAGACCCTGAGGCTGGGAAAGGCTGAGGGCAGGAGGAGAAGGGGACAACAGAGAGTGAGATGGTTGGATGGCATCACCAACATGAGTTTGAGCAAGCTCCAGAAGATGATGAAGGACTGGGAAGCCTGGCATGCTGCAGTTGATGGAAGTGCAAAGAGTCAGACATGACCCAACCAATCAACTCTAAAATTCCAGAGGCAATTAACTAACAATTTTCAGCCCTCATTAGACTAACCAGTTTACCACTGCAGTCTAAGAGTGAAGAAGTACAATCTTTGGATCTTCATCATTTCTTCTGGAACATTATCTAATATTCCTTCTGTCTTACACAGAAGCAATCCAATCATACTTGTCCTTTCAGTAACTACAAGATCTCGTGTTGCTCTGCATTTTTCTTCTTCAGACAGTATCAGGTCTCAATAATCATCACTTTTGACCCCCTGATCTAAAAGTCATAATCACACAGCATCATAAGAGCTGTCAGCTGATCAGTCCTCCCTGGAGTTATCACCTTCATTTGGAGGTGGGAATGGAGTGTGTGATGGTTAATTCTGTCAACCTGACTGGGTCATCAGGAGCCCCATATCTTGTTAAATGTTATTTCTGGGTGTGTCTTTGAGGGTGGATCCAGAAGAGTTTAGCATTTGAATTGATGGACTGAACAAAGCAGATGATCCTCCTCAATGTGGGTGGACATCATTCAATTAGCTGACAGTCTGAACAGAACAAAAATGTGGAGAAAGGCTATTCTCTGACTCTACCAGTAGGACACTGATCTTCTCCTGTCCTCAGTGCTCCTGATTCTGAGGAATCAGACTACTAGACTACTACAAACTGGACTACCACTAGACCCACCTTTTTCTTTCCCCCTTACTTTTATTTTTATTTTATATTGGAATATAGCTGATTAACAAAGTTGTGATAGTTTCAGGTGGACAGCAAAGGGACTCAGTCAAAAATATAAACATATATCTATTCTTCTTCAAACTCCCCTCCCATTCAAACTGCCACATAACATTGAGCAGAGTCCCTGTGCTATACAGTAGGGCCTTATTGCTTATCCATTTTAAATATAGCAGTGCAGACCTGCTTTTTTTTTTTTTTTTTTTTTTTTGCCATGCCACACAGTATGCAGAATCTTAGTTCCCTGACCAGGGATTAAACCCATGCCCCCTGCAATGGAAGGGCACAATCCTAACCACTTAGTCACCTGGGAATCCCCTAGACTTCCACTAGACTCTACACCACTGCTCTCTGACTGTCTGGTCTTCAAACTATACCACTGGCTTTCATGGGTCTTCCCCTTTGCAAAAGTGTTAAGAATCAAGAATACACAATAAAATAAGTATATAGTGGTAAAGCAGCATTTTATCTGCAACTTAATCTCAAATGATTCTGGAAGAAAGAATATTTTTATAATGTACATTTTTTCTTAACTTAGAAAATATCAAAATAAGAAATTAGAAAAGAAGGGAAGGGGAAAAAGGAAAGAAAGGCATACACCAAATAGAATATTTTCATCTCCTTTTATTGAAGGAAATAAAACTGTAGAGGCAGTGGTACCTCGGAGCATGACAAGGTAGCCATTGGGGCTAACATGACAAGCCACAATGCTGGCCAGGGGTCCTACAATAATGGGAGGACCAAAACCACAAAGACAGCACGAGGTAGCAAACATCCCCAACACCCAGTGCAAGCATTTCCATTTGCAGAGAGCTTGGCCATGCAGAGTAAAAACAGGGTCCCCTCACAGCTGGCAGACTATCATCTCAGGCCAACAAATCCATCCAAAACTAACATGTAGTCTCAGATTTGGAGATCTTTCTCTTTCAGCCAGAGATTAGGGCAATCAGAAGATGAGTTAATCTTTAAGCTCCATGTTGCAGATGGAAAATCATGCTGAGTTCTTGAAACATCACATGGGTATAGCTGGACAGGTGCTGATGTCCAGCTTTGTTCTAAAAGCAGCTTTTTTTTTTCCCTTGACTTCTCACACTGCTCTCACCCAGCATGTGCCCTAGGAAAGTTCTCAATGTTCTAAACAAAGACAGAATGGGGGCAGCAGCCTAGGGGATTTAGGGAGTCAAAAGCTGCTACATAGCCAAGATCATTTCACAAGAAATAGCATGGGGAACACGATTGGATCTAGATCCTCCCAAAGAGATGCTTGAAGCATACACAAAGAAAAACATGGTAGCTCTCCCACCCATATCAGGATCAGCTGTGCCAAAGTCATGGTCCAGAAAGAAGAGCCATTTCATGTCCTGGCTGAATATCACCCCCATGGCATTCCTTGAGCTATTCCATTTTCAAGTACAACAATGTGTTTGGGCAGTCTGATAACAGAAAAACAAGCACTGAAAAATATCTCAACTGATCACAAGTTGATAATGTTATAAAGTCAAAATTTTATATAGTCAAGAACTGATTGGTGCGGGAGGGAGAAATAGGAGTCCAAGGATTTATTTATATAAGCCCTTGATCATAAATCACCCTCACATCCACAGACTGGGAGCAAATTCCTTATTTTAAAATGGCCATCATCCAATTAGCTAATTGCAGTTCTCTTCAATGCTGGACACATGGTTTTCAAGGATCAGTCTTGAAAGCACTAGACCAGGAAATGGGAGGAGAAAGCAAGGAAGAGCCTCAGGGGTTGGAATTTCCGAAATGAGCATTTATTTCACAGAAGGCTTGGCACAATGAGGCTGGGGTGATGTGGTTTTAGTGATTGTTCTTGGTTGCCTCCTTTGCTGCAGCAATCAGTGGAGTGAGGCTGGAGAGAGGCTTGGCAATCTTCAGAAATTGATGCTAGAAAGGAGAAAAAGAACAAAAGACACATAACAATTTACCATTCTTCCGCAGTAACCATTACAAGATTTTCAGGGCATCCATGTTTGTATACTGTGCAGATCGTCAACTTCAAATGGAAGGACATCTTTCAAAGATAACATGTCATTTTGAAGAATTGTTTGGCGGTAGCTACCTACAGTTAAATACATGCCTATCCTATATCCCACCAATTCTACCTCTAGATATATTTCAAGAGAAGTAAGTTTTTAAATTCACCAGAAGACACAGACACATAAATGCTCATTGCAGTTTTACTCATGACAGTCATAAATGAAAGAACTTAAATGTCCAAGAGACTGAAAGAACAAGTAACATTATATTCATAGAATATGATACAAAAATTACAGAGCAATAAAAAGGAATAATTGATACACTGATAATAGGATGAATCCTACAGAAGACATGCTACATGAAAGAAGACATGCACAAGAAGAGTTCATACTGTAAGATTTCACTTAATATAAGTCCAAAATATGGTGAAAGTCAGAACAATAATGAGCTCAGAGGGAAGGTTATTAACTGATGGTGACCCAATGGTACACTGCTGCTGCTGCTGCTGCTAAGTCGCTTCAGTCATGTTCGACTCTGTGCAACCCCACAGACGGTAGCCCACCAGGCTCCCCCGTCCCTGGGATTCTCCAGGCAAGAACACTGGAGTGGGTTGCCATTGCCTTCTCCAATGCATGAAAGTGAAATGTGAAAGTGAAGTCACTCAGTCATGTCCGACTCTTAGCGACCCCATGGACTGCAGCCCACCAGGCTCCTCCATCCATGGGATTTTCCAGGCAAGAGTACTGGAGTGGGTTGCCATTGCCTTCTCCGAATGGTACACTACAATTCTGCATTTCAGAAGCACTGATTTGGGAATTTGTTGTTCTATCCTTGAGTTTAGTAAGGTTAATTAACCCAGGAAAAACTTGGTCCTTTTCCAAATCACTTTCACTGGGCTATACAGTGGGTCATACCCACAACTACTAAAGAAGACTATTATGGAAAAAACACCAATTGAAAAATTACTTTTATGTTTTCAGTAAAAAAAAAAAAAACATTATAAAAAAACATTATGGAAAATGGTCATTATAGAACTCTGAACTCACAACTAAAAATGACTTTTCTTCATTTACTAGTGAAAAGGCTTTGTGTCTTGAGGGTGTAGGGTGTTTCTCCCATTGGATAAGAAACATAGGAACTAACTAATGTATTTTCTTTTCTGTCTTCGCTACCAGGACACTAAGAACCAAATTTGATGTTTAACCAAAACTATTTAACGCAAATGATTAGCATGTTCGATTCTTCTGGCCGTCCCCATAAGTCTCTTTTATTAATCATATTGTATATGTGTATACACACCCATTAAATTTTAAAATTTCTATATTTCTAAATATAGAAATATCTATAAATATTCTTTGCTAGAAGCGTTTCAAATTCTTTTTGGACAAAGATGGGATTCAAAGAGGTACTAAGAGAGGGATCGGGTGGAGAGGGAGGTGGGAGGGGGGATCGGGATGGGGAATGCATGTATATCCATCGATGATTCATGTCAATGTATGACAAAGACTACTACAATATTGTAAAGTAGTTAGCCTCCAACTAATAAAAAAAATAAATAAATAAAATAAAATAAAAAACAAAGAGGTACTGAAAATAAGAAACTATTACTATAAAAGGAATAAAAGATCTTGGCTAAATTATGAAGATACGGATTCCAACAAAAGCCCCTATGTATTATTTCTGTCCATATATATCGTTCTCACAGGATAAACAGATGTGAAGCTTTCATGATCTGAGATTCTGAAAGTCATCGTTTAGAATATTTACAATGTACAGTAACAAGTTAGAGTCAATGTTTTCAGATTGCATGTTTATACAACTCCCCTGAGTTGAGAAAGCAGCATGACCCAACACCCAATTAGGAGGCCTCAGTTTCCTTCTCTCTGTAATGAACAAATCAGACAAGATAAGCCCTAAGGTCTTTCCAGCTTTAATACTCAGAGCCAGGAAGTGGCCAAGAATATACACACTTGAGAGCCAAATACACATAGATTTAAATCCTGGATCCACCATTTCTCAGTTACTTTAATCAAGCAAAGTTATTGAACACTTGAAATCTCAGTTTCCTCACCTGTAAAAATGGGAATACAAAACTTATGAATCACAGGTTTATTAAAAAAGAATAGATTAAAAAAATATGTAAAGTGCTTAGTGCCTAGAATGTGGTAAAGCTTCATTCAACACAATGCATTTATTATTTGTCATGTATTATTATATTAGGAAAAAAACTCTAGAAGGCATTAATCTTTCAGTAACTGTATTTTAATACCTGGTTAACAATATCATCTTGAGGCTTAGACTATTTGCACATTTCCCAAAGCTTAGTGTTTCCAGAAAAAACTTCATATGAAAGGAAAAGGATCCTGTATTATATATACTGCCTTTTATAAGGAGTTTTGTCCCAAAGGATGCTAGAAACTAATGGGTTTGGCAGAACCCAGATCTCATATCTAATATATCAATGCTCTATAGTCAGTAACTCTGATTACAAAGAGATGCTAAATATCTCCAGAAGGTAACATTTCAATGAAGGTTTAAGCAATTCTATTCACTTCAACATTTTCTGAATACCTATTTTTTAATTGAAGTATAGTTGATATACAATGTTATATAAGTTTGTTCTTGTTGTTTAGTCACTAAGCCATGTCCGATTCTTTTGCAATTCCATGGACTGTAGCCCGCCAGGCTCCTTTGTCCATCAGCTCTCCCAGGCAAAAATATTGTAGTGGCTTGCCATTTCCTTCTCCGGGGAATCTTCCCAACCCAGGGATCAAATCTGCCTCCACTGTACTGGCAGGCAGATTCTTTACCACTGAGCCACTAGGGAGCCACTGCATAAATCACAGGTATACAATATAGTGATTCACAATTTTTATAGGTTATAATCCATTTATAATTATTATAAAATATTGGCTATATTTCCTGGGTTATACAATATATCCTTGCAGCTTGTTTTACATATAATAATTTGTAGCTCTTAATACCCTACCCATATAATGTCCCTCGCCCACTTTCCCACTCCCCACTGGTAACCATTAATTTGTTCTCTATATCTGTGAATCTGTTTCTTTTATGTTATATTCACTAGTTTATTTTACTTTTTAGATTCCACATATAAGTGATGTCATACAGTATTTGTTTTTCTGTCTGACATTTCACTTAGCATAATACCCTCCAAGTCCATCCATGTTGCTGCAAATGTCAAGATTTCATTCTTTTTTATCATTGAGTAGTATTCATCCACATCTTCTTTATCCATTCATTTCCTGATGGACACTGAGGTCACTTACATATCTTGGCAATTATAAATAATGTTGCTATGAACATTGAGTTGCATGTATCTTTTCATATTAGTGTTTTTGTTTCTTTCATATATATATCCAAGACTGGAACCACTGGGTCATATCATAGTTCTATTTTTAGTTTCTTGAAACACCTCCATATTGTTTTCCATATTGGCTGTACCAATTTATATTCCCATCAAGCGTGTAGGAGAGTTCCCTTTTCTCCACATCCTTGTCAACATTTGTTATTTGGATTCTTTTGAATGATAGTCATTCTGACAGGTGTGAGGTGATTTCTCACTGTGGTTTTGATTTGCATTTCCCTGATACTTAGCGATATTGAGCATCTTTTCATGTGCCTGCTGACCATCTGCATTTTCTCTCTGGAAAAATGTCTATTCAGGTCTTCTGCCCATTTTTAAACTGGGTTGTCTGTAAGTTATTTTTTTTTCTCCTGAGTTGTATGAGCTGGTATATATTTTGGATATTAATGCTTTATCAGTCATATCATTTGCAAATGTTTTCTCCCACTGAATACCTATTTTGATTCAGGTCCCAGGTAAGAGGAGACCAAGGATTAATAACATAGAAGTTATGATCTACTAACAGTGAGGAAGACAGAATTGTTCATAATTAGCTTTAACGTGATGCAGTATGGTACATCCTGCCCTGCATTAGTCCTCAAAATACAAAAGTTTTATGACTTTTGTACACTGAATGACTGTGCAAATCTACACATTACTCATTGTCATTAAGTTGCATGTCACACTTATTAAATCACCAGTTGGCAATGTAGTAAAATAACACTAGTAATGAGAAATTGTAACTGAGACAAAAATGCTCAATATAGATAATGTGGTCAACTAAAAGCAAATTTTGAAACCATATAAAATAATTACACTATAACTTCAGGATTAAGCTGGTGTAATATATAAAACTTGGTAAACCCCCAACTTCAGGTTCCCCACAGCCTGTCAGGATCTCACTCCAAACAAGCAGACTGTAGGGACCTTCCTGGTGATCCAAAGGTTAAAACTCCAAGCTTCCACTGCAGGAGGGCACAGGTTTGATCCCTGGTCAGGGAACTAAGATCCCACATGCCATGTGGCATGGCCAAAAATTGAAATAAGTGAACAAACAAGCAGACTCTCATTCCCACCATCTGTAACGGTTTCCAATGAAGAAACTGGGAACACTTGAAATGTTGCACTTACTATCCTCTAAATGAATGTCTTCTGATATTCTTTCCTGAAAATCTATCTTTTAGGTTTATCCCAGTAAAATATAACGTGTATAAGATTTTCATGTCAAAGAATTTCTTCTCATCAAGACTCACACTCTGCCAGACTAATTCAGGCAGAACAAAACAAGCACCAAAGGAAGACACATGCAAAGTTCAATAAGAGCTCAGAAAGTAACTCTGTAAGATACAGCCTAGGAGACAGTACAGACTTATTGCAGGCTGAGGAAGAGCCCAAGGGAGTAACATGAGCAAAGGTCCAGGGATGAACAAGATGAGGGAAATAGGAGTGTGTGACATGCTAGGAGAAAAGCCTAGTTCTATAACAGCCATACAAAAATGCAGCAAAAAAGCCTTGGTTATGTGATTCCCTGAATTAGGTGCCTCCCTACATAGGGACAGTTACCTGCAACAGTTCTTTAGCCGAACCTCTCTTCTCCACATCCATCTCAAGACAGCGGTTCAGAAAGTCTCGGAAGATAGCTGACAGCTTCTCTGGGTTCTGAAGCTCTGGCGTCCCATTGGTGGCAATAAGGTACAAGGCCTGGAAATACAGAGAATTGCCCTGGGCTCTACCTGGGGTTCGTTCCTGGTTCCCAGACAGGCCCTCTAGAAATACAGTCAGCTGCTTTCTGCCTTCAGAAGACAAAGAGGCAGCTCTGGTATACTGGAGAGAATATGACTTAAGAGCCAAATTTCCAGTGAATTTCTAACTTCCTCATCTGTAAAACAGTGATGTTAACAGTACCTATCTCACATGTCTGTAAAATAAAACAAGATAATATACTGAAAGTACTTCATAAGCTTATGAAGTGTGTTACAGATCCAAGGATTTATTATTATTATTATTGACTTAAATCTAAATGGTTTATTACACATTTAGCCTACTGAGTTAAACACCTGCCCATTTGCTGAAGGAAATTTATTATTCCTGGTGCCATCATCTCAGTCATCTATAAATTGATCTCTTCCAGCAGGAAAAGAACATATAAAGGAACTGTTCTGTAAAGGAGCAATCTGTTTCACTGCTGCCATCTTGGTTCTCTAATATGAAGCCATCCCCTGGGAAAGGTAAAGAAAAACATAATCATACTAAATCTTTTAAAGCAATCTGCACTTTATTTCATAAAGTGTTTACACAAACACTATCTCATTTAATGACCACAATAACTCTGAGTAATAGGCAGGGCAAGAATTATCATCCCCATTTCACAGATAAAGTCCTAAAACATAAAGAGAGATGCTCGGGATTATGCTGTTTACATAAGCTCATGTCCTCTGATTCTGATCCCAGTCTTATTTCTGTCACTATTACTCATCATCACTTTCAAGGCCACTCTAAGGTGGAGGAAGATGAATGGCATGTGGGTCCACAGGGCAATACTGGGAACCAAGGGAAGAAACTATGGAAGGTAGTTTCAGTTTGGTACACTAAAGCACTTTTCAATAATTAAGGCTATCCAAGAGGTAACTGGCTAAAATTACATGACTGTCTATCAGCAACAAAACTCAGGGAATTATGGCACTGAGTGAGAGGCTGGAATAAACAACAAAATAAAAACAATCAGAATAACTCTCACATTTGCCCATGATCAAAATTACCAACCTACTTGTATCTATATTCACATACGCTGCTTTCCTTCTCCTATTATAATAATAAACTGTCCAAGTTCTAATTTGATGATCTTTACTTCAGTACTTGATCCAACCCCCTGATCTACTTAAGGATATCACTATCTCTTCTACAGATGTCACATCTCTCTTGTACATGACCATTTTCCTCTCTACTAGATCATTCTCATGAGCACAAAAACATGCTATGACAATATTATCTTCAAAACAAACAAAAAAAGAAAATCCCCCTAGTCTCCACTTCAAGATATGGCTCCACTCACTTCTCTGTTAGCATAACTGCAAAATTCCTTTGAAAGAAAACGATGAAAAGTAACTGCTTATACATGTCATTTCTTCACTCTGGTGGATTTACTCTACCAGGCTTTCATTCCCATCACTCCAGTGAAACTGACTGTCAAAGTCATCAATAACCTTTACATGGACAAATCTAATGATCATTTCTTAGCATTATCTTAAATGCAGCTTAGTCACATTTGACACTGGTCCATCCTCCTTCTCAAAATACGTTGTCCTCTTGGCCTCCGGGACACGTCTCTCAGGTCTCCTTCTACCAGGAAGGCCGCTCATTGGTCAACTTTGCTGGTTCCTCTAATTTGTAAATATGAGTGTATCCCAGGTCTCAGTACTCTAACCTCACTTCCTAGGTGAGTGATCTTATTATCATCTACCTCTGATTTTTAAATAAACCAACTATATAATACCTACTAATAAATTTGTATTTCGAGTCTTGAATGCTCACTCTTGAACTCTGAACTCTTATGCCCAATTCTACTCAATACCTTCACTTAAGATGTCTAATAAACATTTTAACTTAACATGGTCAGAACCATGTCCACTGTACTCACTTACTTCAGGGACACTAGTCTCCTTGGTTTTCCCCAGGATGTATCAAGTATGTTCTCTAAACAAGTTCTTTATACACTTGATAACTCAAAAATTCTTACATCAAATTAATCTCAAGGATCATTCCTTTTTTCTTTAATTTTTCTATTTTTTCATTCCGTTTTTTTCCTTCAGATTTCTCCTCAGATAACTTATACTAGAGGAACTCATTCTCTACCTAGAATAAAACACACATTTCTCCCTCCTTCCCCTTCTTACTCTCTTAAGCCCCTTACTCTTTCTTTCACAGCTCTTATCTTCTGTTACTATATATTAATTTGTTTTCTTATTATCAGAACAGTTTCTTGCCCTTAAGAACTCAAATAATCACTGAATACATGAACGAATGACTGCTAATTTACATTTCCTTAAGCATGTATACTTTATCACTGCCTGGTTTGATCCAGAAAAGAAAAATCCAACAGCCCAAACATCTTGATATGGGGCTAGTAACACTCACTCTCAGAGGGTTTTCATTGAGGTATGGGGGCTCCCCTTCAATCATTTCAATAGCCATGATGCCGAGGGACCAAATGTCAACCTTAGGCCCATAGGCTTTCCGGGTCACAACCTCTGGTGCCATCCAGTACGGTGTTCCCACCATGGTGCTCCGTTTGCTCTGCTCTGGGGTGATCTGAGCACAAAATCCAAAATCAGCTGAAACAGAAAAGATAGAAACGATTCATATGCAGAGTGTTCCTTCTGTAAATACTGAATGTGTGCCTACCTCGAGGTATCAAGCTCTGCCTGTGTCCTAGCCACTACATCCCTTCTCTCTCCAAAGCTGGAGTCACATAACTGCCACCTTCATATCCTACTCCTAGACTGTACCCTGTTCAGCTTTAAGGAAGAACATGAAACATGAGTTCTGCCTTCCTACCCCTCCTCAAACCAGAAACACTAGGCATTAAAGGCTAAACTGCCCATTCTGACCTCTATTACCTACCCCAATTCTGCTTTCTTCCTGAAATCCATCCCCATATACCAATATCTGGTTACTAGGTCTTTATTTTATTTCCTAGGCATGAAAACTTAATCATCTACAACTAGGCATGAAAAAATGTGGTCCACTAGAGAAGGACATGGCAAACCACTTCAGTATTCTTGCCTTGAGAACCACATGAACAGTATGAAGAGGCAAAAAGTTAGGACACTGAAAGACGAAATCCCCAGGTCGGTAGGTGCCCCATATGCTACTGGAGATCAATGGAGAAACAAATCCAGAAAGAATGAACAGATGGAGCCAAAGCAAAAACAACACCCAGTTGTGGATGTGACTGGTGACAGAAGCAAAGTCCAATGCTGTAAAGAGCAATATTGCATAGGAACCTGAAATATTAGGTCCATGAATCAAGGCAAATTGTTAGTGGCCAAACAGGATATAGCAAGAGTGAACATCAACATTTTAGGACATCAACATTTTAGGAATCAGCAAACTAAAATGGACTGGAATGGGTGAATTTAATTCAGATGACCATCATATCTACTACTGTGGGCAAGAATCCCTTAGAAAAAATGGGGTAGCCATCACAGTCAAGAAGAGTCCAAAATGCAGTACATAGGTGCAATCTCAAAAATGACAGAATAATCTCTGTTCGTTTCGAGGCAAACCATTCAATGTCACAGTAATCCAAGTCTATGCCCCTACCAGTAATGCTGAAGAAGCTGAAGCTGAGTGGTTCTAAGAACACCTACAAGACCTTCTAGTGGTCATACCATCCTGATTATCTGGGTCATGAAGATCTTTTTTGTATAGTTCTTCTGTGTATTCTTGCCACCTCTTCTTAATATCTTCTGCTTCTGTCCTTTATTGTGCCCATCTTTGCATGAAACNCCATATTTGCATGAAAAGTTCCCTTGGTATCTCTAATTTTCTTGAAGAGCTCTCTAGTCTTTCCCATTCTATTTTTTCCTCTCTTTCTTTGCACTGATCACTGAGGAAGGTTTTCTTATCTCTCCTTGCTGTTCTTTGGAACTCTGCATTCAAATGGGTATATCTTTCCTTTCCTCCTTTGCTTTTTGCTTCTCTTCTTTTCACAGCTATTTGTAGGGCCTTCTCAGACAGCTATTTGGCTTTTTGCATCTATTTTTTGTGGGGATGCTCTTGATCACTGCCTCCTGTACAATGCCCATAGTTCTTCAGGCACTCTGTATATCAGATTGAATCCCTTGAATCTATTTCTCACTTCGGTCTAGTGGTTTTCCCTACTTTCTTTGATTTAAGTCTGCATTTGGCAATAAGGAGTTCATGATCTGAGCCTCAGTCAGCTCCTGGTCTCGTTTTTGCTGACTGTATAGAGCTTCTCCTTCTTTGGCTGCAAAGAATATGATCAATCTGATTTTGGTGTTGACCATCAGGTGATGTCTATGTGTAGAGTCTTCTCTTGTGTTGTTGGAAGAGGGTGTTTGCTATGACCAGTGCATTCTCTTGGCAAAACTCTGTTAGCCTTTGCTGTGCTTCATTCTGTACTCCAAGGCTAAATTTGCCTGTTACTCCAGGTGTTTATTAACTTTCTACATTTGCATTTAATCCCCTAAAGTGGAACAAAAGCAAAGAAAGAAAAGAAAATTAAGTCACTCAGTTGTATCTCACTCTTTGAAACCCCATGGACTGTTGCCTACCAGTCTCCCCCATCCCTGGAATTTTCCAGGTAAGAGTACAGGTGTAGGTTGCCATTTCCCTTTCCAGAGGATCTTCCTGACCCAGGGATTGAACCCGGGTCTCCTGCATGGTAAGCAGGCGCTTTACCATCTGAGCCACCAGGGAAGTCATAATCAAAAGGACATCTTTTTTGGGTGTTAGTTCTAGAAGGTCTTGTAGGTCTTCATAGAACCATTCAACTTCAGCTTCAGCATTTTTGGTCAGGGCATAGACTTGGATTACTGTAATATAGAATGGTTTGCCTTGGAAATGAATAGATCATTCTGTCGTTTTTGAGATTGCCTCCAATCTTGATTGCATTTTGGACTGTTTTGTTGACTATGAGGGCTACTCCATTTCTTCTCAGGGATCCTTGCCCACAGTCGTAGATATAATGGTCATCTGAGTTAAATTCACCCATTCTAGTTCATTTTAATTTGCTGATTCTTAAAATGTCGACATTCACTCTTGCCATCTCCTATTTGACCACTTCCATATTGCCTTGATTCATGGACCTAACATTCCAGGTTCCTATGCAATATTGTTCTTTATAGCATCAAACTTTGCTTCTATCACGAGTCACATCCACAACTGAGTGTTATTTTTGCTTTGGTTCTGTCTCTTCATTCTTTATGGAGTTATTTCTCCACTGATCTCCGGTAGCATATTAGGCACCTACTGACCTGGGGAGTTCATCTTTCAGTGTCCTATCTTTTTGCGTTTTCATACTGTTCATGGGGTTCTCAAGGCAAGAAAATGGAAGTGGTTTTCCATTCCCTGGAGAAGGGAATGTGAAAAATTATCTGAATGCAATGTTCAGGTTCATTGGAAGGATTGATGCTGAAGCTGAAACTCCAGTACTTTGGCCACCTCATGCGAAGAGGTGACTCATTGGAAAAGACCTTGATGCTGGGCAGGATTGGGGGCAAGAGGAGAAGGGGACGACAGAGGATGAGATGGCTGGATGGCATCACCGACTGGATGAACATGAGTTTGAGTAAACTCCGGGAGTTGGTGACGGACAGGGAGGCCTGGCGTGCTGTGATTCATGGGGTTGCAGAGAGTCGGACACGACTAAGTGACTGAACTGAACTGAACTGAATGTTCAGGTTGAATCATGCCAAAGTTGGAGGCTGTTCATCCTCAATCTAGTGTATGTCTTGGTCTGGCCAGTGGACCGCCAGTGGCTACGATGAAGATAAAGCCTCTTCCTTTATCTGCTTGAATATGCCAGAATTCATGAGCAATTAGGCATTTCCCCAAAGGTCCCACTTTCTTTGCTCTTTTCTGTATAGGGCAGGTTTATTCCACCTCTCACCTCTAGGGGGAGCATTCCCATTCCTCAGCCTACACAATGCCCCACTCCCAGGACTAGTGCCTTCCTAGCATCTGTTTCAGAGACAGGTCTTGCCTGGAAAGTTATTACCTGGAACTTTAGCCCAGTTGGTAGTAGGAAGCCCATTCATGTGATCAGTCATTCATGTGGCTTCAGTGTCCTCTCATGCATGGTTCCATGAATGAGGTGGGGAATGAATGAATGGGTAAGAATAGAAGTAAAAAGACTAGGTAAGTAGCTGGTCTGAATGCTAGATAATTTCAACTTAATTTTGGAATCGATGAGAATGTGGTTTGGAGGGTGTTTGGTATTTCAGGCATGGCATTACGATAGCAGGGCTTCCCTGGTAGCTTAGGTGGTAAAGAATCAGCCTGCAATGCAGGAGACCCAGCTTCCATCCCTGGGTTGGGAAGTTTCCCTGGAGAAGGGAATGGCTACCCACACCAGTTTTCTTGCCTGGAGAATCCCATGCACAGAGGAGTCTGGTGGGCTACAGTCCACAGGGTCGCAAAGAGTTGGAAATGACTGAGTGACTAACATGCACAAGTGTTACTATAGCAACCGCTGAGTGAAAAGCAGGTGCAGTGGAGAAAAGAGAATCACAAACGATAGAGACTTTGGTTTGCTTCAGAGACTTCATGTTCTAGGAGTGGAAACCGGAGGAGCAATGAGAAGTAATTTTAGGATTAAAAACCAGTGATTTTATAGAAGTTGAATTAATAAAGTCCATTGGTGGTGTTGTTCAGTTGCTAAGTTGTATCTGACTCTTTTCCAACCCCATGGACCCACCAGGCTTCTCTGTCCATGGAATTTCCCAGGCAGGAATACTGGAGTGGGTTACCATTTCCTTCTCCAGGGGATCTTCCCAACCTAGGCAGGGATCGAACCTGCGTCTCCTGTATTGGCAGGTGAATTTTTCACCACTGAGCCGCAAGATAGTGTTGAGTTTTTTCTCTCTGAAGTTTCTTCTATTGGACCTAAATTTCCAGTATGTAATTTATACCCAGTTTGGTACAAAATTTTCTTCTTTACTTAGTTCAGACTCCTGAATGAATGTGTTTGCTTTAAAGAGAGAAATAAATACTTGAAAAGAGTAAACAGTTGATAAATTAAAATATGAATAATTTACATGCTGACTGTCAGTTATTTTGCTGATTGCTAAATTATGTGTTCATTGAATGCTGACTATGCTTAAATATCTCCTTCAGTGTTGCTAAGGGAAATATTCTTACCTGACTTTTGTGTGTAGACTTGTTTATATTGTTCCAAGTTTATTTTTACTTTCTGAAAGAATAATAACTATTATTATTCATAAGTGTATATGTTAATTTTAAAATAAGAATGCAGTAAAATAGGGCTTGCAAAGAAGAACAAGTTACCTAAAACCCCACTACCCAGAAATTACTGTTTTTAATATTAGATAAACTGAATTTCAGATATCCCTGTAATGAAATACATATAGATGGAGGGGGAGGTAAATAAGAGACAGAGACAGAGAACAAAGATTGGATCCATAAAACACATACTATTTTGACTGAAAATGTTAAACATAATCCTCCTTTAATTTGCAGAGATAAATTGGCAGTGAAATTAAAGGAACCAGTGATTTCAAATTCTTACAGTTGTTTAGACTAAGTTTTTTATCGAAATGAATTTAATACTAACTACCAGTGCTTATTTTATGGTT